ACATTCCCCTGCAGCCCGTGGTGCAGCCCACGCTGGGGCAGGCTGTGCCCCTGCAGCCCCTGGAGGTCCGTGGTGGAGCAGATACCCGCCTGCGGCCCCGGGAGAACCCCACGCAGGAGCAGGGGGGTGCCCGAAGGAGGCTGTGACCCTGTGGGAAGCCCCCGATGGAGCAGGCTCCTGGCAGGAGCTGTGGTCCCGTGGGGAGAGAAGCCCATGCTGGGGCAGGGGAAGAGTGTGAGGAGTCCTCCTCCTGAGCAGGAAGGAGCGGCAGAAACAATGTGTGATGAACTGACCATCAACCCCCATTCCCTTTCCCCCTGTGCTGCTGGTGGGGAGGAGGTAGAGAATTTAGGAGTAAAGTTAAGCCCAGGAAGAAGTGAGGGGTTGAGGGAAGGTGTTTTAAGATTTAGTTTTTATTTCTTGTTATCCTCTGATTAGGTTAGTAATAAACTAATCTCCCCAAGTTGAGTCTGTTTCACCCATGACAGTAGTTTTCCCTGTCCTTACCTTGACCCACAAGCCTTTTGTTACATTTTCTCGCCCCTGTCCAGCTGAGGAAGGGAGTGATAGAGTTGCTTTGGTGGACACCTGGTGTCCAACCAGGGTCAACCCACCACAGCCTCAATTGTAAACGGGTTTGTGAGGGAAAAGTATTAGTTTTTATTTTACTCCTGGGTACGTTTTGATCGTATTATGGGTAGTAAAATATCAATTGGGCATTTGTTAATCTACCAGAGAAGTCACTGCCTGAAGGGAGGAGAATGTAGGACGTTTTGAGTCTGAATAGATGAGAAAGCTGCATTAGCTGGTGCAGTTCATTTCTGATCAGTCTCTCTAGTTGCAAAAGGCTGTAATTGTACAGTAATTTACTGCTACCTTATTTCTAAAATCCCTGCAGATCATTCCCACCAGACAGACTGCTTTAGTAAGCAGTTCATTTCAGTACCTCACAAAAGCTGCAGTACAGAGCAGGGCAAGGACAAAATGAAGCAGAAGAGATTTACCGAGCAAGCAGTGTCATCGCTCTGCTGCACATCATGTCTTTGCAAGATAGAAATTTGTTGGTTGATCTTACCTTACAGAACAAACAACATTAAGTGGCAGAGGCACAAAAAGTAGTCCTGGCTGTCTGGGTCCAAGGCACATTGGCAGGCGTGCATTAGATCTTTTTGTGTCTCCAGTGGCGTGTGCTTGTTGGCAAGGTAGTGTTTTGGCATGCAGCACTTGCTACCTGCTCATGGCACCTATTTAGGTAATTGAATCAGTTGCCATTCCCCTTACTTACGAAGCCTTCCCTTGTGAATTATTTGAAAATGTAACTTGGTTTTTACTGATCAAAAATTCGGATTACTGTGACTCATACCATGTAGAGCAGTAGCTGGAGTCACTTCTGGAGTCATGGAACTAGAGGAAGCCACCGTCCTGCCTAATTACAGGAAAGTAAGTATGGGAGTTTGAGTGCGTGCCTGCACTCCAAGGAGAGCTCTGCAGTAGCTGCTAAACAGAAAGTCAGGAAGAATTAATTACATGGGTATAATCTCAAGGACAGCGAAGTGAAACTCTGTAATCCCCACAGGGCAAATACTCTTTTGCTCGGTTATCAGTCCGGATTAAATCCCTGGGTTCCATACTCAATCACTTATGGTTAAGTCAACATTTGCCTGTATTTCAAACTAGCAGTCTTGTCATCTGAGTTTGTGTTCATGGCACAAAATTCTCTTTGGTTTTAAAACTTTAATAATGAATGATATTTTAGAAAAGCAATACAGTTTCCGTACCAGGAAAGCCATATTTCTTGCAGCTATTTGATTTCATAATTTAGAATTTCATTTTTTTCCCCCACTTTAATGTCAGAACTGAGGTATTTGCTAATTGGGGAACTGGTGTATCATTAGATATTCTGACTGATCTTCCTCCACCCAGTTTTTGCCACCACCCAAAACATCAGAGCAAGCAGCAGCCTGCCCTGGCTAGCTTGAGGAGTTCACTGCCTCAGGAAGTGATCAGATCACATCTCTGTCAGGATCTCCTCTCTTCTTGGGAATAAGAAATGTAACTTCTGAGGAGAAAAAGAAAAAAAAAAGGCATGCGTTAAACACCAAATAGAAGACACAGAACGAATTGCACCTCATTTTAAAACTCCTCCTGCAGGCTTTGGCACTTTCTGCTGAGTTAAAAGGACCAGTCTCCAAAAGACATGAGAAGAGCATGCTGAGAGAGCATTTCTGGAGGCAAACAACCCTACACAGAAAGCGTGCACTACATATTGCATAGTTGATAAGAGTAGTATACTTTTTTGCATGCAGGTGTGGATGAATGTGAGAGACTGCAACAGCCATCTTGCCTAAGCCTGGGAACATGTGCACTGCTTTGGGCTGTGCTAATGGGAAACCCAGACTTGGCTAAATTCCTTCAGCACACCGACAGCACAGCAGGATGGTTGTTTATTTGCAGACAGCACAAGAGGGTTAATCTGGCAGTAGAGACCATGAGCAACTAACTACCACTATACAAATAGCAGATAATACTAGTAGCTTCTTAAGTGCTCACTGTTGTCTGAATTTCCTGATGGTACAGTGAAATCTCAGACATTGAAATGTAATGGTGCAGGAGTCAGGATGTTAACACCGCTCCATCTGAGCTCCATCTGACAGAGCCTGAAGAGCACCATGCAGCATGTTACTACTCCACTTGGTTGAGGAGTGCTGTAGACAGCAGAGAGCAAGGTACATTGCTCCTTAGCAGCAGGTGGGTTTGACTGGGTATATCAGTGCTGCGGATTTGGAAAGCTAATTACTTTGTGCAAAAAAATATATAAACTTAGATCAGCAGTTTTTATGCTCAGGAGGCTTACTTAAACCATCTACTCTGACCAAGTGCCATTAGAACTGCCACAGACTCACTTTTTGAGTCTGCCTTGATAATTTTAAAACACATTTTTAAAAGAATACTGACTTCTCAAGACACGAACAAGTATAACAGATAAACTGTAACTTAAGGCAAACTGTTCCTTATCTCACACACTTAGAATACATGGTAGCGTGCATTGCCCACATGTGTCTACACATCAGTTCTAGGTGTCTTGATTTGCTTGCTGCTGTGTGATAGTCACAAAGACAGCAAGGCAGAGCAGGAGCCAGAGGATTCATGAGTAGGACAAGGCTACAGAGAAGTTAAAGGGGAGATAAGATCAAGCAGGGTGGTGGCAAAGGGACATATGATGCAGGCATAAAGTAAGATATACTCAACCCCAGAGGAGATTGGGTCTTTCTTTGCTCCATTTTTCTGAAAGTTGCTTGTTTCACCCAGTATTCATCTTCAACTTTTGAAGGGCCAGTAAGCGACAATGGTAGACAATGGGCAAGCATGTCCTTGCTCTAAAACAGTGAGGCAATTCCTTCTGCAGAGCTCCTCATTGCTGAGGCAGAAGCCTCTTTGTTGCTTTTATTAGCTGGATATCTTTTGTTATCTGAACCTCTCTCCTGATTGCACTAATTAATACCATTGCAAATCTCTTGATGTTTCTCATTTACAGAACACTGTTACCTTACACCTCCCTTTGATGAGGTGTGGGTGAATCTGCTGTTTATGACTCAATTCAACTAGTCGATTTCTCTGTTAGCAGTGACCTGTTAAGAGATGAAGGTAGCACGTGCAGCAAAACACCAGCCCTGACTGACACCCACCATCAAAATCTATGCACCCTACCTGGATTTGTCTCGCCTTGTATTCTTTACACTCACAGCAGCTCAGAGCTCCTGTGAGTGTAAAGAGTACAAGGCGAGACAAGAGAAAAAGCTGAGAAAATCAGAAGAGGGAATTGGTCCTGATGATGATAACAGCTCTTTATCAGTTCATTTCTTGTAGTCTCCCAGCTGTCAGCATTAAAACTCTGCATGTTGTTTTCAGCTGAAATAGACGTCTCCCACTGTTCCTGAAAAGTGAAGCATCGTTCCTGTAGTAATGAAATAGAAAACACTGCCATTACCATTCCAGGCTTTCACCAGGGGATACAGCTGCAGTCCAGTTTACAAATCTGAGCTCAGAATAACTCCCTAGAAGCGAGCAGAATGTCTCCAGCATTAGACTCTCTCAAACTTATTATTTCAGCACATTTCAGCCTTCTTATCGTAATGATTTGAAGTGATAGCATGTAGATTGCAAGTGTCCACTCAACTTTCTTCATTTTCTCTTTTTGTTTTGAAGTATATTCGGTGCTGTTCGAACTGGTGCTTATATGCTGTACATTTTGATGACCAAAGGCCTGAAGCAGTCAGTGTGTGATCAGAGTTTTTACATTGGACCTGTCAGCAAATTCTGGGCATATGCATTTGTGCTAAGCAAAGCACCCGAACTAGGTAAGTACTCTTTCTCCCTTTCTCTCACTATGCATATTTAAAGCAGAAATGTCTGTGCAGGAAGCACAAGAAGGGTCTCAGTGTTTTCAAAATCTTGTTTTAGTCTTACAAAAACCGAGCAAACAGAACCAACCCCAAACTCTGCATGTTCTAATCTCTTGACTGAAGTTAGAGCAATGTGTAGTTGAAAAAGCCCATTCCCAGCCAAGGAATAAAATGCAGTGATTATACACAATAGGGCAGTCAAGAGCTAAAAGCAATCCGGTCCATACCTCTTCCTCAGCTAGTTGTAGGCAAATCTGAGTAGCATAATCGGCAGTCACTCACCCCGTGGGTACAGAAGTGAAGGGTGGGCAACAGCACCTGTGTCAGGAAGGAGCTTTGAGTCAGGTTCTGCCTCCATTATGCAGCACTCATCCTTAAACACACATGGAGGCGTCCAATTATGAACAGTAATGTGCTTCCTCCCTAAACACTGAAAGCTGTGGCTGTCTGCTTCCTCCAAATAGAAACCGATTTCCTTTAATATCCCTTGCTTTTCCAGTCCTGATTCTTATAAACTCCTGTCTCTCCAGATTTTTTTATCTATTTATTTTTTTAGGATACTTACAATATACGTGCCAAAGCCAACTTAATAGGAAGTCTGCTTATGTTCTCATCTCATGGCTTATTAGTGTTAGAAAGGATTGTTTTATTGGGAAGGAGGAGCCATCGATTTAGCAACCCTTCAGCTTTCGTTTTGGAGGATGCCCTTATTAAACCTCAAAAGGCTGTAGCACTCACTGTGTTCAGGAGTACAGCAAAAACAGGCTTTTACCTTTCAGCAGAGAATTTGATTCAGCAAATTACAAGGACAGCAATACATCAGCATAAAAACTGGAGGGAGACAAGACGCTATTTGCCTTGCTGTGTCAGATTCTCTTGGTATCATGCTGTTTAAATTACTGCAAAACCACAGAAATTTAGTTGTTAAAACTGGAAAACATAGCTAGAACTGCACAGCACCAATAAATTGAATATATGATTATTTATTAAAATGTGAGTCAACATCTTGCATCTAATGAAGTAAACAGTAGCATTATAGCTTATTACCGACCTTGTACAAACAGTGCAGTTTTGGTTCCACCCATCACTTAATATTCATTACATGGATTTCATGGGACAGATATATGTAGAAATAAGTTTCCAGATTCAAATCTCAGGGATCTTTTTGGAAACCCTGTGTCTATAACAATAGAAAACAAGCAGCATACATATACACATATACCTACTGAGGTGCTCAGTGCAATAATGAGAACCAGAAGGAAGGAAAAAACAGGAACAAAGAATATAATTTACTTTTCAACAGTTGAAATGCAGAAAAGGATGTGCATTTCAACGTATGCCAAATTCCTTTCTAGAAGCATTTTTTTCTTCTAATTACATACCTTTTGGTATCATAGGTTGTATATGCAATAGCTTTTTGCATAGTAGCTCAAAAAGCTCTATTGAGTTTAACTAGGTTCAGTTTGCAGGTAGGTATTTGAACCAGAGGACACTGTGCTGCTTCCTCTTCAGGTTTTCTGCTCTCTGTTGAGCTGCATTTCTCTTCTAGTCACAGTATCTAATGGACAATCTCACAGTCAGGGATGAAACAAGTACATCCACCTGCCTCACCTCAGACTTCAACAGATGACGTTTGCAGCAAAGTGCTACCGAGTAAACCTATGGAGTTTTCAAGTGGGTTATTCACACAGGAAAATGTGGATATTTTGGTTTTCTGAAGACTGCGTAGAGATTAGGAGCCAAGCTAGCTCTTGGACCAGACAGGCTCTCAGATCTAGAGGTGAGGTGGTGGCTCCAAAGTAGTGTGTACTCCATCAACAGCAAAAGGCATAGAGCACAGCAGTAGTTACAGGATTGTTCGATATGTTTCTTATTTCCTTCCCTCTTTTTTTTCTTTTTCCCTTTTTTTTTTTGTGTGTTTTGTTACAGGCGACACAATATTCATTATTCTTAGGAAACAGAAGCTCATCTTCTTACACTGGTACCATCACATTACTGTGTTACTTTATTCTTGGTATTCCTACAAGGACATGGTGGCTGGCGGTGGCTGGTTCATGACCATGAACTATGGAGTACACGCCGTTATGTACTCTTACTATGCCTTGCGGGCTGCTGGCTTCAGAGTCTCACGCAAGTTTGCCATGTTCATCACCTTGTCGCAGATCACTCAGATGTTGATCGGTTGCGTGATCAATTACCTGGTCTTCTCCTGGATGCAGCATGGCCAGTGCCATTCCCACGTGCAGAACATCATCTGGTCTTCTCTCATGTACCTCAGCTACTTTGTGCTCTTCTGCCATTTTTTCTTTGAGGCCTATATTGGCAAAACCGGAAAAGAAAGGAAGGTTGACTAGTGGTAGAAACGAGAAGCCATAGCTCAGGGTCATCAAGAAAAACAAAATTATAAGAAAAGAAAATGGCACAAGGAAACACATATACGTATGGTGCAGCTAAAACTTGGCAGCTTAGGGAAAGTTAGCTTGGTTTAACCCAGTAAGTTTATGATCCTATCATGGTGAGAACTCACTGAATTCTACTCTATCTCAAAGGACTGCTGGTGAAAGACAACTTCCTTCTTGTACCTGTCTGCTCTAGAAAAGAAAGGAGAAAAGAAAGAAGAGGAGAAAAAGAAAAGAAAAAAGGAAAGAAAAAGAAGAGATGAGAAGAGAAAAGAATTAATGTTGAGGGGGGAAAAAGTACATTAAATAAGCAGTGTGTTTCCCCAGGGTGGAGGAAAGACTTTTATTAAAAAAAAAAAAAAGTTTCTAAATCCTTTCTCATATTTTTTCAGCATTAAACTTGAACAAAAAAAAAGCAGAGAGGTAACAAAAAGAAAAACAAATCTGTCTGTGATAACAGTACAATTGTAGAATTAAAATCTTTTCCATATAGGGTTGATACCTTTAGCCAAAATGAAACCCAAAAGGATGTTTCCTGTACGGAAGGTGGTTGAACTCCACACTGTGGTCATGTATGGAAAAGAGATTGATTTCTCCACTATGTACTCCGCCAGGGGAGCAGATCTGGGATGCAGTCGCCTCCCTCAGAAGACAGAAAGGAGCAGTACTTTTACAAGAGTTTAATGTGAAAAGATGCACTGTTGCAATACATATCTCAGAGAGTGCGTTTTCCAAGTGCATTTTTCACTTAAAAACAAGAAGTTTTTACAGCAGGATAAGTCATAGAGGGTTAAATCAATCAATATTTGCTAAATTACCAGGGGCTAATAGCAGAGGGATGTTCCAGAAGGAGAGGGATGCAACTTCCCTCATGTGATTTTTAGGAATTACCTGTTAATCTCAATTTAACCCGCAGCAACACTGAATTAAATGGGGGAAATCAGAAGAAATCCTAGTTAGCGGGAAGAGAGTGATGTATCTGCCCACTGTTTTCAGAACAATGCCCTGTGGTACGATACGGATTCTGTATTTTTGTGGACACAAGGATACCTGCCTGGGTGGGAAGAGGTGTCAGGACTGTGCGACATTGGGAAACACTGTGCTTCTGCATCTGCCTCCTGGGCAGTGCAAAGATGTTCAAAGTGCCCTCCTCTGGTCATGTGGAGATACTACTACAAAACATACTTGGAATAGGGTTTTCTTGAGATTTGTATAGAGAAAAAAAATAGTCTAAACGGAATAATTTTGCTGCAACAGCTTAACTCTAAAGTCCAGAGAGAATTACCCTTCATTAAGTATATCTCTCTGCAGAATCTGTACTGTAACATCAGACTGACCACTTTAGAAGACGCTCTTTCTTCTCTGAAGTCAGCTACAGATATAAGGAGAAACGTATTTCACTCTGAACCTTAGAGAGTTAGTTGAGAACAGCCATATTCTTTCAAAGACAAGTAGATTGCATTATCTGTGATATTCCAGTCCTTAAAAAGCCAAATAAAATGTGTAAAAGTTCCTAGTATTTCAAAGACGCAAGTATGTAAACTTGATGTTAAATGTGTTAACGTAGTATTCTAAATTGTATCAGTTAGGTAGTTTAACTAAACAACTAGAAGAACTAGATCAACAAAATAGGGACTGCTGTTCTGCATAGAATATACACACACCTATAACTACACCCATATACACATTCTGTGAATTGTCAACAAGAAAAAAAAGCCCAGTGGCAGAGAATCACATTTCCTGGCTAATGCAAAAGATTGTCATTATCTTTCTTGCTTTAATTTGAAATTGTACAGTACAAAGGTTTTGGGTTTTTTTAATTATGATTTTTAGCTTTAATTGTGCTGTCATTCATGAAACAGAGCTGCTTTAGTATCCTGTTAAGAGATGACAAGGGCTTTTGGTGTCTCATTATATACAAAAGAAAAACAAATAAAGCTACATTCCATGTTATGTGAATGGTCTTACAAATCAAAAAGCCTTTGCAGGCTAAAATCATAATTATAACAAGCAGAAAATGAGTTTACATTTGTGTTATTTAAGTTATTGATGTGCTGACGTTATTTTATGGTACACAACAAATAGCAAAATGTGATATGCAGTAATGAAGCTATGATACTCGTTAATAGGACTACTGTATACGTGGAAATATTAGACAAAATCAATTAAATGTGCAAACCATTTTGTTATACAGCTTGGGAGTAGATAATTATAATGCTGAATAAGCCTTTTTCCTCATGCTTAATTTTGCCCTGGCTAAGAAGCAGGTTAAGAAGATTAGTTGAGAGTGGAAAAGGCAAAATTAAAAGTCGACTGGAGTTAGATGAGAGGTGTTAGTAGAAGCTCACCATTGTGCCATTTGACCCTCAGTCCTATGTGTCTTAGGTCTCTTAAATAAAGCAAGAGGGGTTGGAAGTGGTCCGGTGTTTGGAGCTGAAGCTGGAGCAGAAATCTTGGACCCTGTGAAGTCAGTGGAGATTTTGCTCTGCTGTGAACAGAGCCTCTGTGTCTGACTGCCTTTACGTGAGCAGAGGGAAAGGAATCGCACACATCTCAGGCTAATTTGAGGCTTATGGCTAATGACTTAAAGCCCCCTAAACTTTATCAATACAAAGTGACACCACAGCAAGGTAAGGACTCCTTGCTCCCAAGTTTAACACAGGCAGAAAATAGGGCGGGTTGCAAACAACCTGCTATGTTTAGTATACTGTTTTCCCTAGTTGCATAAGAGAAAAAACACACCTGTGCATGCTGGATGGCAATTCTGGCAATGCCGATACTGACCTCAGCAGAGCAAGGATTACACCCGCTCTTACCCCATCTTCCCAAAGCCCCTGCAGGCACCACTGCACTGTTCCCAGTGCCTGCTCCATGACATGCCCAGCACCCTACCAGCCACGGCCAGGCGGGCGATGGCCACCTTTCTTATTGCCTGGGAAGTGGCTACTGTGCAGAATCGAGCCCAGGCGACCTCCTCAAGATGCAGTGCAGGTGTATCCCTGGCATGCAGAGGGAAATTGACACTGAATTCAGTGGATGTTCATGGCAGGTGACTAGGCTGCAGGCAGGCACATGTGTAGGTAAGGGGCAGCAAGTTCAGACACACAAGGGACAGTGGTAAATTAGGGTACATTTATTGTCACACTGCCACTTGCTTAAGGAGATGACGTCACACATGTTTACACAGGTCCTATAGCCCCACTATACCATTGGGCTTTTCTTCTGAGGTTTTCCACTGGAGTGGAAACTGGCATTAAAGAAATTGAGGAGAAGACAAAAAACAACTTAAACTGCTTTTCTTATTTCTTGTTTCTTCCTAAAACGTGCATGCATGATATTCAGACATCACATTTAAACCACTCACATGTACTTAAATACTGAGCCAGTCAACCCTAATGTAATGACACCTCAACAATACCCCAGCTGTTCCAACCTATGAGCCACAAGATACCAACACAGCTACCTGGGTCCTATTTATTTCCCCTGCTTTGAGCACTGGAGTCACACTTCCAAAATTTTCTGTCCACTACCAGAACCTTTTTTCCTGTATTATTTTAAATAAAGCTGTAATTCTGTTGCATTCACACACACTATGGGGAATTCAAACTTTATATAGATTACCAAGCATTATGGGACCTGTGAGAACCATTACAGATGCTGGAAATGCTGTTATGGGATTCACTATTAAAGTCAGGAGAGTTACACTGGTGATAAGGTCAGTCTGCCAGGGTCGAAGTCTGTTTCATATTTTGACACATTAATCCAGTGTACTGAAATAAAACCAGAAAGGTTGGTATGGATTTACACTTACGCAGCTGTGAACAGAATTTGGCTCTTCCTAAATGCTACTTCTGTGTAGTAGATGCTCCAAGGAAAATATTTTCAGCTAGTTAGTGGAAGAGCAAAAACATGGGTAATTTTGCAGTCTCTTTAAAATTGTGCCTGTGACAAGAAGGAAACCCCTTGTGCTTACAGACCTTCTGTAACTTGGCGTCAGAAATTACGTATGTCTGAGCTCACTGATAACGCCCAACTAAGAGCAGCTGGCTCCAAAAGAGACCTATCACCAGAATCTCACAGTAAACTAATACAAGCTTTTACTTACAAGATAAGGGCCAAAGTGTGCAAGAGGAATCACTCAAAAGGGACGAGCTGGATAGTAGGAATAAAGTATTGAGCACAAGCTGCAGGAGAGACAAGAAGGGAGAAGCCCTATTACAAATCCTAGGAGAAGGTATTTCCATCTTTCCCAAGATGAGGAAAGGCAAGGCGGGAGGAGGGCAGGCTCCAAAGTTCCAGGTGCCCAGGCCAGGGTGGCTCGTAGAGTACGGCTTGCATGAAGAGGTCCCTCCTGCAGGGTGAAACAGCAGCCTTTGTAAGCAGTGCCAGATACAACATATTAGTGCAGTAGCATCTGTAGTTAGTTGTAGTCTATCCTGTACTTCAGAACCAGTAACAGAAGTATAACTTGTTTATATACAAATCATAAATACAGACATACTTTAAGTTATAAAAATGGCCTTGATCAAAGAAGAAATCAAAACAAATTGCAGACCATTCCACTCACACAAGTTCAGGACTTGGTCCAATGCCTCCTGAAAGTGAGATTGTTGGTGAGATGTCCAGTGACTTCAGCAAGCTTTGCTTCAGCGTGCTGCAGCCTAGTTGCAGAGGGTGATGCGAGACCTAAATCCCCTTGTTTATTTAGTGGTGACTTGGACCACTCAGGGCATCACTCAGGCCCTGACTGCGGTCTTTAATCATACTTTCTAGCCTAGCATCAATGAGCCCTCTGAAAGGGAAGATTTACAACTCAGAATTGTTGGTTGGTTTCTACTGTTTTATTTCAATACATTTTCCATTCCATGTATTTTATGAGAAGCAAGCTAAAGGACAAGTCCTCATCCTGCTATCGTAAAGGCCCTGTTGCAGTCAGGGTGACGGCACATGGGCACGGAAACCTTTTGCTTACAGGGGTAAAGGCAGGATCAGTGCCTTGTTACAGACTTAATTTCTAGCAGAGCAAGCACTACAGGGTAGGATTTGATTTCTTAAACCAAATGTATCTACACAAATAAGATCTGCACAAGAACTCGACAGCTGAGGGAAACCAGGGCCCTCCCCAGCTCATCATAAAGCTCAATGAAATGCTGCATGAAGTGGGGTTAGAGTGTATTCCCCAATGGGTATAAAATAATACTCCCCTGAAACAGTGACCTTCCTGAGAAGTCT